GCCTGCCGCCATCTTCGCCTCCGGGCCCCCCGGCCGCCGGGCTCGCCCGGTCCCGCCGTGCCGGCCCGCTCCAACGGAGGGCACAGGGCAGCGGGGACCCAGTTGGGCCAGCCTACACCCTACCCGAGCCGCCAGGGGGTGGAGCCTCGAGGGGCGGGGCTATCCAGGGCTGTGGCTTACAGCTAGGGGCGGGGTCACATGCAGCCTGCGGGAGGCCGGGGCGGGGCGGAGCCGTGTAGGGTTCCTCGGGGAGGGGGCCCGCAAGTGAGGCAAGGAGCCGGCGAGGTGCAGGTGCCCGAGCGGGCCATGCTGGGAGCGGGGTTCATGTCGGGGGCGGAGCCCTAGGTTCCAGTGGAGGAGACTCGGCGCTGCTTAAGGCCGTCGAGGGCCGGGATCTTCGCTCACTGACGTGAGCACCAGAACGGGGGGCAGAAGCATGGCTACTCGGGCGAGGCTTTGGGCGTCGGCTCGGGGCTACGTAGGGGCGGAACGCTGGACCCCGTTTCCAGGCTTGATTTTAAGAGGCGGACGCCGATCCGCGAGGGACTTCGCGATTGGGCTGCACGTGGGCCAGCTTAAGAAGGGGCCGGTTTTCCATTTGGGGGTGGGAGTGGGGTTTTGTGTGTGGGAGAGGCTTAGTGTGGCACGTGACTTCTAAAGCCCCGCCCACGGGGATGAGCGCTACGGGCTCTTTTGGGGGCTTGGGGAGAGGGTGGACACGTTCCCCACTTTGAAACTGGAGGGGTGTTTAAGAGGTTAACCCTCATAATTGAGTACATCTAGACTCAGTAAAGCCTGAAGTCTCACACTTTGAAACCTGGCAGAAGGAGAACCCAGGACTTTTGGCTGGACTTTGGGTCTGAGATCTTAGTTTCTGGTTCCAGCTCAGATACTCTGTTAGCGCCATGTCTACCTTGGTCCAGTCACTTCACTTCTCTGGGCCTCAGTTTCCTCATCTGTGAAATGGCCAGGCTTAGGCCTTGCGTAAGGATCAAATCGATGTGAAAACACATTGTGGGCTGTGAATCACTGTGCTATCAATATAACCACTTTCATTTATTGAATGCTGACTACTGGCCAGGCCTAGAACTGAGAATTTTTCAGGTGTCATCTCAGTGTTTACAGTAGCCTCGTGGAGTAGCTACTGTTAGGAACACCCCCCCATTATACAGAAGGGAAAACTTGGATTTAGACAGTCAAATCGGCCTAGGCCACATGTTTATGGTGGGCAGTCCTGGGATTCAAACCCAGGCCTGTTTTGCACCAGTGCATCCTTATAAGAAGAGTCCCACCTCCACCTCAGTCTGTCCTCAGGTCTACCCCTAGTCTCCATCCTCCCTCCTAGGGATGTGTTGGGCAATAAATAGGTAGGGCCACATCAGTGTGTACATTCTCTGGGCCTTTTGGGTAGACTCCTCCACATAAGATACCATCATGGGGAAAAAAAAAAAAAAAACTCAGAAGAAAATAGGTACATATACCGGAAGATTGTCCACAGCCACCTTAGGTTGACAAATAACCAGAGAAACCCACGTGTCCAACAATAGTGGAATGGCTCTCCGCCACTGAAAATCCACTGAGACCACATACACACACGTATTGTCGTAGTCATCTAGTGCTGCTACAACAGAAGTACCACAAGTGGATGGCTTTAACAAAGAGAAATTTATTTCTTCACAGTAAAGTAGGCTAAAAGTCCAAATTCAGGGCATCAGCTCCAGGAAAAGCCTTTCTCTCTGTGTCGGCCTTCTCATCAATGTTCCCCTGGACTAGGATCTCCACGCAGGGACCCTGGGTCCAAAGGACATGCTCTGCTCCTGGCACTGCTTTCTTGGTGCCATGAGGTCCCCCTGTCTCTCTGCTCATTTCTATCTTCTATATCTCAAGAGATTGCCTCAGGACACAATCCAATCTTGTAGATTGAGCCCTGCCTCGCTAACACAACTGCCACCCATCCTCCCTCATTAACATCATAGAGGCAGGATTTACAACATATAGGAAAATCACACAATACCAGGAATCATGGCCCAGTCAGATTGATACACACATTTTTGGGGGGACATAATTCAATCCATGACATGTATAATATGTACATGTACATATAATACATAAATGCAATTTATTCAATGTTTGTGTCTTAGGCTAGGTTCTCTAGAGAAACAAAACCAGTGAAGTGTCTATAGATATATATAGAGAGAGGGAGTTTTATATCAAAGAAATGGCTCACACAGTTGTCAAGGCTGATAAGTCCTGAGTCCATGGGTCAAGCTGGAGTCTTCTCCAGTTGCAGGGGCTGGCAAACACAAGATTGGCAGGTCATACAACAGGCTGCAGAGGCCGACAAATGCCAAGATCGACAGGTAAGCTGCTAGTTCAACTCCCAATAACCAAAGGTCAGATAAACAGGAGCCAGCTGCAGAATCCAGAGTGAGCAAAAGCCCAAGAGCTTTGCCAGAAAGTCCACCTATATTGGATACAGGCCACACCCCCAAGGAAACTCCCTTTTAACTGATTGGCTACTCACAGCAGAGCCCATCATATCAAATCTCATCATGAAAGTGGTACATCATTATATGACTGCCAGACTACATCATAACTGCCAAACCACCGAGAATCATGGCCCAGCCAACTTGACACACAACCTTAACCATCACAGTTTGCTATATGTTGGTACATGAGCTGGCTGATTTAGATACATTCTGTCATTTAAATCTCACATAAATCCTGCACAGGCTGTATATTATCCCTGTTCTATAGATGGGAAAATTGGGACACATAGCCAGTAAGTACAGACCTCTATTCTAAGCCGCGTCTGTCTGACTTCCAAGCCCATATCCCTCCTACTCCTCCTTTCTGCAGCCCACATAGCAGCAAGGGATGAGTTTAAAATTCATTCATTCAAGACCAGACTTAATGGTCTGACTGAGACTGAAGGAACTCCGGAAAGCATGGCCCCTGGATTCTCTATCAGCGCAGAACTAAAACAATTTTGGAGGCCAACTCTTCAGACAGGGATTAGACTGGACCGTGGGACATAAAGTGATACTCGTGAGGAGTTTGCCTCTTAGCTCAAGTAGATACAAGAGACTAAATGGGCAGCTACTGTCCGGAGGTGAGATGGGTTAGGAGCTGATTGAATGGACATGGGGAATCGGGTGGAAAGGAGGAGTGTGCTGTCAGCATGGGAAGAGCAGTTAGAGTCACATAACAATATATGTATAAATTTTTGTGTGGGAAAAAAAATAAAGTTCATTCATTCATTCAACAAACATTTATTAACATCCAGTATGTGCCATAGTCCTAAGTTGTAAACAAGATAGATAGAGCCCCACCTCATGGAACATATAATCCACTGGGAGTCGGGATCCTATGGTGGTTAAGACCATGGGCTTTGGATTCTGACTTCCTGAGTTCAAATTCTCCTTGTGCCATTTCCTATCTGTGTGACCCTGGTTATGTTATTTAATCTCTAAGTTTCCATGTCATGATATATAAAGTGGGCATATTAAAAGTATTATCTCCAATTATTAAGAGGAATAAATAATGTATTGCTGATAAACTGTTTAGCACAATTCCTGTACATAGTAAGCATTCCAAAAATATGAGGTGCAGTTACTTGGGAAATAGACATCAATGAAACAGCCTTAATTTCAGGTGATGTGTACATGACAGAGACACAGACACACACAAAAAGAACCCAAGGTCTGGCATATATGTGACACTCAATAAATATATAAAGGAAAAAACAAGAGGAAGGAAGAAAGGGAAGGAGGGAGAGGAGAGAGAGGAAGAAAGAAAGAGAATATAGCATTGTATATCATCATTGATATTTTAAAAGTATGACTGTGCTAAAGATTGGAAGGCAGCCTGAGAAATTTGGGGATAAGCCGCTGTGATAAATGAGAAGTATATCCTACTTGACTTTTGGAAACTTTACTTTGATGGTAAAGAAGAGAGAAAAGGGATCAGGCAGAAGGCAAGAGGCCAGGGAGGAGGTGAAGTTCCTTTCCCAGGACCAAAGTCTTGAGCCAGGTCCTTAAAAGTCCTCCCACGTACTGCCCTGCTTAAAAAAGAATTAATGAGCCCCAGACAAACTTGGTGGGAAAGAGGCTTGATACAGGGTACCTCCCCTGGGGGGCTGTTTTCTGTGGCTACAATGGGAAGGGAGGAAGAAGAGGGATGGTGTGTGTAGAGTAAGAGAAAGCTAGCAGTGAAGGAAGAGGGGTGCAGAGCCAGAAAAAACAGTGGTGTGTATGTGTATATGTACGTGTGTGTACATGTGTGTTTGTGTATATGTGTATTGTGTGTATATGTATGTGTATGTTTGTGAATATGTATATGCATGTGTGTGTGAATTCTTGATCATACAGCTTGGGCAGGAGCAATCAGCTGTATCCCCGTCAGCCACCCCCAGGATCCCTGTAGCTGGAGGAAAGCTCCACTCATCTGCTGTGGTCAGCTGATGCATCCCACACACACACACACACACACACACACACACACACACACACACATACACAGTCCTGGCTCTCCACATAACCCCAGGCAGGCCTTCCAGAGGAGACCAGTTCACTCCCAAAGGATTGGAGAGGCCAGAGGGGAAAAAAAGGAGGGAGAGGAGCTACCCAGCCCCACCTGTCCCACCTGTCTCCAATTCCCACTGAAGGCCCTATAGGACCAAGAGTCTGGGGCCCTAGTCAAACAGGGAGGACCCTCTGCACAGGCTCTAGGGTAAAGAGCAGAGAGTCCTCCACTTGTGGCCTCCCGGACCCAGTGATGGCAATAATAATGAGAGCTAACCTGACTGAGGCCAAAATGGATGTCAGAAGAGACTCTGAAACTTTCTCTT